CAAAATTATAAATCCATAGAATGAATACTATATTAATATTTCTTAAATTATTTGAAGTATTTAATGCCTCATTATTATTAATTGAATTTTCGTTCATACATTGAATATTGTGTAAATTTAATTCATTATAATAAAGTATATTATCCAAATAAACAAAGTAATCCTCATTAATTTCATTAGTATATTCCTCATCATTAATATTTGTTATAAGTAGAATGTTTGTTAATAGTTCTTTTGTTTCGCTTAAAAGTGTTTTTACCAAAATCTCAATAAATACTTGCTCCATTTTTAAGTCACTTTTATTATTTAAAATAATTCTTTCTTTGTTTAAGATTAATCTTATTAAGAGTCTATATTTATAGAATAAAATTTCAAAAGCAGTGGTAATTCTTTCTACAAGTAAATTCCATGCCATATTAACACCTTCACCATAAGTTTCAATACTGCTAGTAATAATATCTTTATCTTCTGATTCACTAATTCTCTTCAATAATAATTCCCAAGATGTTAAAATCAACTGTCCATGTTTTAGTACATTCATTAACTGATTATTATTTAATAATGTTCTTGAAACTTTATATAATCCATCTGTAGATATATCTACAGCTGGTGACACTAATACGCTTGTAATAATTTGAGAAAATAATATTGACTTAATACTATTACTATTGCTTTTCAATTCTTCCCAAGTTCCAATATTTATTGCATTGGTTAAACCTTCAATATCATATTTTTCTTCGGTTATAGCGTTATCTACTTTAACTAAAGCATTTAAAGTCCTTTTTTTGTTATTAGAATTTTCACCAGATAAATCTGGAATGTTAGATTCTAAATCAAGAATCTGCTTAATTTCCTTATTTTTATAATTAAAAACAAACATCTCATCATCTATGTTTCTCATTTCTTTTTCATAGTCCTCTTCAATATTTTGTTTTTCATCTTGAACATTAAATTCCAATTTTTTATTGCTATTCAAAGGTGAAAATTTATTAGTCCAAGGAAATTTACTCGAATTTAGTATTAAGTCTATATTCTTCTTTTGTTCGTTACATTCATCATTATTTCCTTCCTCAACAAATAAGTTATTTGGTATTTTCAAGTTTAAAAAATTATTTATTGCAATATCTACAACATTTGAATAAGAGTTTGTTGAAAATAACCAACAAACTCCTTCTATTACACTTTGCGGTGAAATCTTATAAAATCCATCATCTACATCATATTTCATTCTTTTATACGAGTATCTCGTTGACCTACCACGTAATTCTTGTGCATGAATTGGCGGTAAAATGTCGTTTGTTGATTCGTTCTTCTCATCCACATGGAAATCATTACTGTCATTATTGTTTTTATTATTATTATTGTAATTTTTGTTAAATTTGTTAATAGCTTCTTGTCTAAGTTCGTGAAGATTTCCTTTCTTCCCAAGCTTATTAAGAATACTAATAATTTCACCAAAAAGAATTATATTGTCGTAAGTGTGTGCTGAAGCAAGAATACGCAGTAGTTCTTCTTGAAGTACGAATTTTACTGCATTTATTCTCTCAACTTCTTTTTCATTAATTTGAATGAAAAGTTCCTTTGAGAGTTCTATTATCGAGGAAATGAATCTGCTAAGATAAATTCCTTTTGAACTACAAAGCCAACCTATAAATTGAATCCAGTAACATATATTGAGGTAATTAATTTCTTTCAATCTCAATAAAAATCTTCCTGATAATTCTATTGAATCTGAAATACTTCTAATAACATTTTCAAAAACTGTTATCGAACTTTTACATAAAATTACTTCTATTGGTAAAATACATCCAAATTGATTAAAATAAACATAATTACCATTACTTTGATGATCGTATGTTACTATTACTCTTGAATTCTTTTTTTGATTCAAATTAAAGTTACCTGGATAATCCCAACATTGGTGATTTACTCTATTTCTTGACTCTATTATTAAATTTGATTTTACCTCTTGTAAAATATTTGTATTAATCATACATATACGTAATATTTTAAAGGCTAATTTAAGTGTCTTCTTATATAATGCCTCTCTTTTCCATTCATCATCTATTTGATAAGAATTTAAAATCACTAAATCTCGATCTTTTTGTTTATTATTAATTGTTCCACCATTACCATAAGTTTCTAATATTTTTGAGATTAATTTAATTAATGAATAAAAACTATTTAATGATTCATCTGTTGCTAAATGTAATTTTCTGCAAATTTCAGAATCCCACCAAGAATCCTTATTAAATGTGCTTTCTTGTAATTCTTCTATTTGTTTATAGCTTTCCTCTTTTTCAATTATTAATTGTTTAATAGAATATGGTAAAAGTAAATCAGAAATTATTACCTCAATTTGATTATATAATATATCAATTATAGCCTTAATTACATTAATATCATTATCATTAATCAAATTTGAAAGTTTAACAGTAACTAAGCAAGTAAATATTGGATCAATCTTCAAAATCTTTTCTAAATTCTTTGCTAATTTTACTCTTACATTAAAATCTTGGTCAAATCTACAATTTACTAATTCTTCAATTACCTTAATAGCTTTAAAATATTCATTATATAAATTTTTTATTTCAATATTTGAAAATTTTCTATTATTAAGATTCTTATCATCAGTATTAGTATTTATATTCAATTCTTGCCTCAATTTAAATCCTTGTATCTTTCTTTGTACTGATAATTGCAAAAATTGGGAAAGTAAATTCTTATCGTCATCATCAATTTCCAAGCTCATTATTCAATTAATTCTTCTTTTCAATGAAATTATGTAATATTGTATTTGTATAGTGCTAATTAATACTTTTAGTAATTACCTTTTCATTAACTGAGAAGTAAATGTTAAATTAAAAATAACTTAATTTATTAATTCTTTCATATGAATCAACGAGTTATAATTAATTTTTATTAACTGGAAAAAAAAAATTAAAATGAGTTGAATTTATAATATATATTTATATAATTTTACTGGTACCAAAAATAAATAAAATAATTATTCAATTAATGAAATATTAGTTTCTTCATCTAGCATTTCATTTCGTAAACACAATAACCTGTGTTATAACAATTTATTTTAGTATTCTAATGTTTTCCTTTTAAAGTTTAATTGAAAAATTACTGTGGGAAACACAATTAGTCGGTATCAAACACTTTAATATATGATTTCCTTTTGAGTAAATTCTCTATCTTATTTTTATATTTTATAATAATAATATTGATTATTCCAGTAATTATTTTAAATTTTAATATTCCAGATTTATTTTCAACGAAAAATCACATATAATTTGACAATTTTTTCCATTTATTTTAATTATTTTTTTTAAAAAAAATTATAAATATATATATGTAAATATATATATATTCGGTACCGTTATTGGCGCCAATGCCATGATCACCTTTGGCGCCAATAGCTGAATTAAAATTAAATGTCAAATGAAGATTAAAATAAAGTTAAAAAAAAAAAAATAGTTGGAATTTATACGAATATATCGAGCAATCAGATAATGAGCAGTATTGTGAGTTGTTACTACTGTAAGGAAGGGAAGGTTGTAATGAAAAGGTGCAAAACAGGGTACCTAAGTTGCAAGAAATGTTTTATTGATAACTTTGAAGAGGAGGTACATGAATATATAATGGAAAATAGGTAAGTAAATAATGATTGAATGGAACTTTCCATTAAGAAAAATTTGAATAGGTTTTTAATATGACTGCGTTTCATATTTAATACCTTATTGTTAATATTTAAAATTCTAACTTGTTTTAATTATCTTATTTTATTGAATGAAATACAGTATGTTTAAAAGAGGAAATAGAGTTGGAGTATGTATTTCAGGAGGAAAGGATTCAAGTGTTTTATTAAATGTATTATATGAACTAAATAAAAGAAAAGATTACGGTATAGAATTGGAATTAATTGCGGTAGATGAAGGAATTAAGGGATATAGGGATGACTCTCTAGAAGTTGTTAAATATCAGCAGGAATACTACAATTGTCCCTTAACTATTCTATCCTTTAAAGATATGTTTAATACAACAATGGACGAAATTCAAAGTAAATCAAGCAAATCAAATTCGTGCACATATTGTGGTGTATTTAGAAGAAAAGCATTAGATATTGGAAGCTATAAAGTTAATGCTGATGTTATTTGTACAGGTCATAGTTGCGATGATACATGTGAAACTTTATTATTAAATATACTACGTGGCGATTTTAATAGATTAAGAAGATGTATTAACCCAATAACAAATAATGAGATTACTACAACTAAAGATCAAATGCAAAATCATGATTCTCAAAATGAAGCTTTCTTAAATATAAAGCCTAGAGTTAAGCCTTTAATGTATTGTTATGAAAAAGAAATTGTATTATATGCGCATTATCTTAACCTCAAATATTTCTCAACAGAATGTACTTATTCTGTGGATGCATATAGAGGAGTTTCACGTGAATTCATACGTAAGATTCAAAGCTTTGATTACAAATACTCTTTCAATATGATACTTGCAGCTCAAGAACTTAACCTTGAACAGTCTAATTCTAGTCCCAATTATATAGCTAGAAAATGTACTATTTGTGGATACATTTCATCATCTACTATTTGTAATGGATGCAACCTTATTAACGCTCTTAAACATGATAATCCAAACTTAATTCTTAAAAATCAAAGACAGAAAAAGAAAATTTTATTGCAAGAAAGTTAATATAAATCAATTATAAGTCTGCCCGCTTTAACACATAATATAATATTTCTTGATAATTATTTTATTACCAAGTGTTACATACATGATATATTTCAACTCAATATTTACAATATTATCAAATATGTATTATATATTCTATCAAATTCAATCTACAAATAATAAATCATACTTTATTATTATTTTTTTTTTATTTACTAATTTACAACTCTCCTCACTTTTTCCTCACTTTTTCACACATCTCACAATATTTTAATATGACCCAATTTTTACCACTCGTTAGCGTCGCCTTCGTAGCATAGTCTTGGTTATTGCGTCGGTCTTGTAAACCGAAGGTCACGAGTTCGAATCTCGTCGAAGGCTCGTTTTTACGAATTTCTCAAATTGTTTAACCTTGGGGCCCCCCTTTCCCGCTAAAACTAAATAGCGCGTGTACAAGTAAACGTGTAATTTATTATTTAAGTATTTTTTTAATAAAAATTTTGATTTTTTTTCAAGTATTAATAAATGTTATTAAAAATATTTATTTATATAATTAAACTCAACTATATGCTTTAAATTCCCAGTTTTTTTTTAATTTACTATCATTTAACTAAGTGAATATTTCAAAAGCACTCGCTTGTGCCGCTCAAAAATTTTATTCTTGAAAATTAAACTAATTACATGTAATACTATTCAATAATATAAATTTCCTTTTCATTTCACGAACTTATTACTTAAAAAACTATCTATAACTGTATCAATTTTTTCCTATTAATACTCTATTATTATGAATATCATCAATAGTTATTTGAAATATACTCTATAGGGAAATTAATTGAAAAAAAAAATAACGCGAATCATTTAAAATAAAATTCCTTCATTCTTTTGCTCCAAAATTGAATCACCAGAGTTCTTGATTGTATCGTATGAGGAGGAATCGTTTTCTTTAGAATTACTTTTATCCTTCTTTAGTTTCTCTTGAAGTTCAGCTTCTGCCCATTCCTTCTTCTTCTCTTGAATCTTCTTCAATCTAAAGAATTCTTCTCTCTCAATTTCATCCAATTCTCTTAAAATGTAATTCATACCATCCTCTAATTTTGGTAAAACTACATTCTGTAATGCATTTACACGACGATTTGTCATCTTAATCTCTTCATCTAAAGAAAAGAATGCAGTCTGTAAGCTAGCTAACTTGACTAAATCCCTTAATACTTTCATGTAAATTTCTCTAGTTGATTGAATTACTTGACCTCCACTTGCTACACCAATATGACATGTTTCTGTAGATGAATTATTATCAACATTCATCTCAAAAATTGGTAATCTAACACCTGCAATATTCTCAGTACCAACTTCCATTGTTACTGTTGGTCTTTTACATGATTCTATGATTCTATCTTTGAAATCACCAGCTGCCCATGTTGCCTTTGCCAATGCAAATGACGCTTCTTTAATATCATTACCTATTGAACGTTTTGTTTCAACAATTTCTTTTAACATTCCTCTAAATTTGTTTGATAAAGCATCACTCTTTCTTTTCAATAAATCATATCCTTGTTTTGCTCCTTTGCTCTTCAACTTTATTGCTTGTAAAGCCCTATAAATTAACAATTAATTTTCAATATTAAAAATTATTCTATATAAATTGTAAACTTACATTCGACTTGGTGTTGGTTTCTGATCCATTTTTCTTTTTTCACTAAAACACTATTTTCTCCTTTAAATTGCTTTTGTTTTACTAATAATTAAATTATTTATCTATTTATCTTCCTCTTATTTATATATAACCACTTTATTCTAAATACTATCCTATATTGTTATTATTTATATATATATATACATATATTCAATTACTGATATCCAATTAAAGAGAAAATATTATTTATACTTCCTATTATTATCCTTTGATAATATTTTATTTATTTATTTATTTTTCTCTCTTTTATTTTTATTATTATTATTATTTTTTTTGCCTCCTTTTTTTTTAACGAGAAAAAAAAAATTCGAATTTTTCCGATAATTTATATTAAAAAATAATTTCGGCGGGAACTCGTGGGGATTTGACCGCCATTTCACTATATAGGTATCGAGATCTTTATAAGTAATGAAAATAATTAATTAATTAGTTACATGTAAAAAAAAATTATAATTTTTTTTTTTTCTTTTTTGTGTTCTTTAAAATTATTATAAATGCAATTTTTTATTATTTATATTTATTTAAAAAATAATAATAATATTAATAAAAATAATAATAATAATGAATTACCAACTTTTTTTATTTTATTATTTAATTATTAACTGTTTAATATATGCATTTTATTGTAATGATGAAATTACATATTTAAAGGAAAAGGTGAAATTTATAATATTTGATGACTTTCATATTGGACCAGATGTAAGTAATTTAATTTATTATAATTAAATTATTATTAAATAATAAATTTTCTTATTCTATTTTTTTTTTTTTTAAATAGAATAAATCCATTTTAGATATTTTATTAATTGATAATAAGATTCCAAAAGATAATGTATATTATTTATCAGAAAATATTCCATACAAATATCCACAAGATACATTATTATTACCTATACTATTTAGATATGTTAAAGAATCCAATAATAATAATTTTGATTGGTTTTTTATAATTAATTCTTATACACGTTTTAATCCAATATTATTAAATGAATTATTATTTAAATTAAATAAAGAACAAACAATATTTGAAAAGATACAAAATGTTCCAAATATTAGTAGTAATATTAAATCTCCAAATAATAATTTTATTGGTGTTCAAATTAATGACAATGTTCCATCTATAGTACATCATTATAATTTGGATAAAAATTTTAAATATCCATTCCATCATTCTGGATATGCTATTAGAAGATTTACTATTGAATCTTTACAAGTATCAATAAAATCATCATCAAATTATATTAATAATAAAAATAATTACAAAATTTATACTGATGTAAATTTTGAGGTATGTTATTTCATTATGAGTTTACTATTAATAATAATAAAATTAATTAATTTATAGTTATCAAAATTAATTTATGATGAATTAAATATTAAATTAAAAGATATACCAGAATTTTGTATAAATATTGATGATACTGATCCAAAATATCATAAAAAAAATAGTATAATACCAAAAAAATGTATTACTTGGTCAATATCTTATCGAATTTCAAATAATTGTGTATCATTTTCACTTCCATTAAATAATATAAATCAAAAATATATTATTAATCCAAATGAAGTTGTTATTGCCATAAAAACTACTCAAAAATACCATAATAATCGTATTTCACAAATTAATCAATTATGGGCAAATAAAAAATATTTAAATTATAATTCAATTAATTCAAATCCTTATTGTAAGAATTATTTTAGTTCAATCTCACATTTAATTAAACCATTTAATGATAAATCTATTCATATTGATATTTTGAGTGATCATAATGATATTATTAATAATATACCCATAAACGATTTAAAAACTGGAAATCAATCTAATGGTCATTGTTTAAAATTATATTCTATTATACACTTTTTATATAATAAATATATTATTAATAACATCAATTCAAATTATAAAATCAAATATTTTGCTCTTGTTGATGATGATACTCTAATCATTCCATTTTCTTTACTTAATTCTCTAACTTATATAAATCACCAATATAATGATAATGATCATTTTGATTTATATCTTGGATTAAGATACTCATTTGGATCTATTATTGATAATTGGTCTATTGATTATATTACTGGTAAGTTTTACCTTTTTTATTTATTTATTTATTATTATTATTTTTTTTTTTTTACTATTTATTTAGGTGGTGGTGGTATTATTATTAATTCAAATTCCTTATCTAAACTTGCAAAATGTAAAGGTAATGTTAAAATTTTATAATTATTCCATTATTATTTATTAATTTCAATTATAGAATGTATTTGTAATAAACCTGATGAACCTGATGATATGGCACTTGGTAGATGGTTTAAATTTCTCAATATTAAAGCAATTAATTTTAATGGATTCCATCAAGCTGAATCAATTCACTATCATTCTTATTATAATTATTTTTCACATATTATTTCTTTTCATAAAATTGAATCAAATATTTATAATACAGCACAAAAATATAATCCAAAAATATTTAATTTATTATATCCACACATTAATGATCTTAATAAATACAAAGAAAATAATCATGATAATAATAAATTTGATGAATTATAATAAACAGTAATTATTACTAAGTTATTATTGTTTTTTTTTTTTTATCATTTCCATTTTATCTTAAAATTACGTGTCATGTTAAATTTTAATGTCAAAATAAAACAGCCCGCCTTTTTGTTTAATACTTGTAATAATTTAATATTATTCTTAAAATAATAATAAAATTATTACAAGCTTCCCACATTTTTTTTATTACCAATAATTTAGTTAAAATAATCCATAATATGTTAAAATTTTTTTAACATATTTATATATATATGTATATATGAATCCATATATTTAAACATTTAATATACTTGCTATAAATTATGGAAGTATTCTTTTCTCCAATAAGAATTGATAATAATAATAATGAAGAAAATATAAAATTCAAATCATACCAAAATTTTGCTTTCATTAAATTTTATGATCTTAATATTTTATGTGATTGTCCTTTAATATGTAAAAATGATTTAAATTATAATATTAATCAAGAATTATTTAGAGATTTAGATCTTGATAAACTGCATGAAGATACACTTTTTCCTGCAACATTTTTATTTAATGAATGTATTAATAATATAAAAGAAAATGAAAAAATTGAAGTTGATTTAATTTTAATTTCAAATCCATATGGACTTATTGGTATTCCTTTTTTGTTACATTATAATAATTATTGTAATTATTTAGAATCATTAGATTCATATTCAAATAATAATAATAATAATAATGATAATAATAATCAAAATAATATTAATAATAACAATAACCAAGATGATATTGATTACCATAGTGATGATAGTTATTCTGATGAAGAAAATTTTAAACAAAATTATTTAAATATTTATCAATGGTTAAATAAATATCCAAGTAAATTTGATATAACAAATTCTAAATTATTAATTACACCACCAGTTTACCAATCTGCAATATTATCTTTACAACAATTAATTGAATATTATAGTAATAATCCATTTAATAATATAATTGATCCATTTTTATGGTTAAAAACTCCTGATTTATTTAATATTATTTCATCAAAACTTATTAATAATAATAATAATAATAATAATAATAATAATAATAATAACTCTTTAAAAATTAGACATGAAATATTTTCAAATCTTGCAGAAAATGGTCCTGAATATTATT